TGATACGGTCCAGCAGGTCAAGGTAGAGCTGCTGGAAATTCGGCTGCAATTTCGCACGCTCCTCCACGAGGTAAGATGCGAACCATTGATGGTGTTGGTCACGAAGAACATCCGTGAGATCACGCAGCTTCTCATCAATGTTTTGTTCAGACACATTGTTCAATACGAAGAGAATCTTGTCTTGGACATCTTCATCAGGATCACGATAGACCTCAGGTCTGAGAAGCGGATCAACATGAACGGAAACAAATTTACGAGTCGATCCATCCGCGGTCGCGTTCTCGTCAACGTTCCCATTCACGGCAGCACCCGGAATACTGTCCGCTCTTCCAGGCTCATCCCTAACTTGACTCCCTTGCTCACGCAGAACTTCCTCGGCTTTCTGGTAGATCGTAGTACCCTGCAGGGTTGGGATTTGTAGGAGCAGGTGGCAGAAGCCAGCCCATTCAGGAAGACGGTTGATCAACTGCTCAATCGCCTCGACACCGAACTTGTACATAGGATCATGCATTTCATGGTCACGCACTGCCTCCAGAATCATGCCCAAACCGACCTTCAAGGTAATGCCGTCCACTAGCCGGAAGTTGATGATGCCACCAAACATCACAGCTGTTTTGGTAAGTGCCTCCAGGGGATATTCATGGTAGCAATGGTATTCGTCAATAAGGCCATGCACCATACAAGCGAATAGGTCCTGCTCGGCTGGTTCACGGGAGGATTTATATCTTCTCATCAGTTCAAGGATTTCCCTGAGTGAGAGCTCCTCGTGATACATCTTGCCGAAAAGCTCTTGCATCTGCTTATCAACTGCCTCGGGCAACGAATTTCCGTTCTCCCCGTTGGCGTCAATGATGTCGTCGAAACCTTCTCCGTAGTTGATGAGTCGCGGATAAGTCTGAATGCATATCCGTTGGACCGGAGTAAGATTTTCACGGTCACCGACATATTCTTCGAGAACTGACAGCAACGTGAACACCGTTTTGACCGCAAGACTAACCATCTGGGGAGCCGACTGTTCCTTCCGTTGGACGTGAAGCTCGTCTTCTGCCTTGATCCTCAGGAACTTGGATAGTAGGCTTCCCATATCCATAGGGCCTTTCTGTGCTGCATTACGAACCCATTGTTCCAGGTCGAAGGGCCCTTTACGGTGAGCGTAGCAAGCAAGATCCATAGCGAGACCATTCGTATATCCCAGAAGATAGTCGAGCCAACCAAACTCGACAGCATGTTCATAGATGGCAGCAGTAGATGTCGGGTCCTGCGTGAAAGTTGTGAAGAGTTGCTCTGCTACCCACTGCCGATCTTGATGCCAAGCCCCGTGCAGTGCCAAATGATATCCTTCCTCTTGTTTGAGTATGAAAACTATCAAAGTTCGAAGGACAAAGCTCTGCTGCACACTAGTCCAAGGCTGAGGGAGAGAGAGGGCTGAGCACAAGAAAACGGGTAGATCATACTGAACAACCGCCTTGATCATCAGTTGACTCTCCGCGGCGGCCCAAGATGCTTGGGAGAACAATGCCAGATCGAATATGGCTCTCATAGCGTCCAAGGACCGGAGTGGTGACTTTGCAGCACGTTCGCCTTGCAAACGAACGAGCTCGGGACCATCGGCAAAGAAGTCGGAGGGAAAGGTGGCACGTAGGTTCGGGATTTGGGATACATCTGTCCTGGAAGCAATGAAAGCAGTCAGGAAGGACATCTGTGTATCACGATGCTCCCAATCACCACCCCAAAGCTTCTGAATATCCAGGGTTGGGTCATCCGTAGCTGCAGCCAACAGGACCGCATACAGCTTTGCGAATTGTCGAGTATCAAGCCTCAAGCCCTCACGGTCGAAGCTGCGGAAGATAAGAGACCAATTGATTCGCTTCTCGCCATAGTGTGCCTGAACAGCCCCGAGGAAAGTTTCCAGAGAGAACTCGCGCCAATGCTGAGAGAGCACAAGGAAAAGCAGCGCACTGGCAATATGCTCTTCGCCCCAGCACTCGGACCCGGTTGAGTTTATCGTCTCAGTGACGGCGTCGGCATTTGAGGTTGCTTTCGGTCCTCTTGAGTGAAGTTGGCGGACAAGGGTATACCTGGGGTTAATGAAATTAAACATCTGAAGAGCAGATGCAACCTCAAATGGCATGTCCACGCCCAGCTTCTGATAGCGCAAGTTCGCCGCATACACCAATTTTCCTTTCACTTCATCTGTGAAATTTCTAGGCGGATACAGTATGAACCGCTCGATTGTCATGCCAATGAAAGAATTCTTGTAATCCTTGCTGACATCAGACAGCGTTGCCAGGCTTTGCAGGAAAGGTGTTATGGAGTTGGAAATTATCGCATCAGCTGTCGGAAAGCATTCGTCAGTTGACTTAGAACTCAGTCTGATATTCGGACTTAACCACTCACCTTTAGCACGCAAGTCCGACTTATTGGCGGTTTTGAAAGCCAGCGCGAGAGAAACCTTCACAAGAGGATCGAGTTTGAAATGATCCAAGAATGTGGAGAGATCAAAATCGCGGAAGATGTCTCCCTCGGATGTATCTACCGTCTCTGCGATCTTCTGGGCCTGTTCTATATCCTGAGACACTTTCTGCATCTCCTGAACTAGCAGCGGATAATTGCCAGCATTTTCCACGGACTTGTTGACTCCGGGGAAAATCTGCGGGGCATTGCCCGTAAGCAAGCGGCGAAAGTATTTGGAAAAGACCTCCATTCCGTTCGACTCAACAAGCTGGTACCAAGTCAGCATCGGATTGATACAACAAGTAGGGGGGAGGTCGACATCTGCGACGCTATGATCTGATGTACTTACCTTATGAATTTGAGCAGCTTTGGTCTCCCACTTTTCTCTACCCTCTTTCTCTGTGATAGAATCTAGGAGCAGGAAAACCTGTGCGATGGATATCTTCGTCAACGACGACTGGCTCGCGTGAGCAGCAGAGCCTGAAGCTGCCGATCCCGGCTTGTCAGAGGGAAAGCCCGTAGGTGAGTTCACGGTTGTACCGGACAACAACGGAGAGAAGGTGGCGCCTCTGGAAGATCCCGTCCCACCTCCGCCTCCCCCGGAGCCTCCTCCACCCGCGACAGAACCCGCTGCGGAAGCCAGATGTGACCCTGAAGACGGGGTGTGAGCTCTGAATTTAGGTGAGGAGAGAGACTGCCCAGGTTGTTGGTGCTGTTGCGAGCCAGATTGAAAGGAGGCGAACGGTGAGGGCGTGGAGGCTGGCGAGGGTACGTTCCGAGCAACAGGATGACCTCTGGCAGAGCTCAGAACGGCGGAAAAGGAGGAAGTCAAAGGAGACGCGGTTGAACCACCTGGACCAGGACTGTTAGACTGAGGTGGCCCCCGAGAAGCTGAGGCGAGTGAAGAGAGGTTGTTGGTCGCAAGTGGAGTCAACCCACGCCGAACACTAGACTGGGACACGGACGGACCCCAAGGAGATTGCTGTGACCTTGCCGGCCTGGTCGAAGAGGATTTATCGGTGCCAGAAGCAATCGACGATTGGGAGGAAGGAGGAGGGGGAGGGAAGGTCATCTAGGAGACGCGATCATTTGATCTGAAGGCGAGCGACAAATTTTTATTATTTGCAACAGAATAAAAGCAGAGTCGAAGCCAAAATTGATGGAAACAATCGTGAGATGTGCAACAGAGCGACGGATTCTGGCAGCGGAAGAGCAGAGACCGATGGCAATGAAGAGGATGTTGCTTCGTGGCACAGGATGGAAGTTCCGATGGGTGTGAATGACGGGCAGAGAAAGCGAGGTTGAGTGGACGTGCGGGTCGGGAGGTGCCTGAGGAGCCCACACTAGGTGGCCTTAGGCAGCGACAGAGAGCTGCGTCCTGCTCCTCCCACTTACTGAAGAGAGTAGGTAGAGAAGGTCGATCAATCCAAAGTTTAGGAGGGGAGGGGGAAGGTGTGGTGAAATTCGGCAGAGAGATAGAAATTCTCAAACCGGCAATCACGATTTAGGGGTTCTCAAGCTGAGATTAACGACCAGTGGAAAGGACGCGCAATATAGTTTTGGGCAAAGTGCGTAGGCGAGCGACCGGACTCGACCTCCAGCTTTGTCTCTCCTGCATAATGACCACTACGTTTAGGCAAGTGCGGCTGGGGGTCCCGGGCACGTGAGCATGACGGGACGAATGCGGTGGCTTAGATAACCGCTGAGTCATCGGGTGTTCCTGGGATGAAGGTTGCAATCTGGTTATCTACAGTTAGTGGGTAGTTTTATCAAGGAACCTAAAGTTATCTACGCTCTCTCAAAAGTCCAAAAATGGGGGAACCCGGAAATCCCCTATTGACAGTCGTCCCCAGAGTTACTCGTTGATTGATGCCCGACACCCTCACCATGGTCACCGACATTTCCGCTCGAGCAGACCTAGTGTAGATAATGGCGAGTGATTGCTTGCAATGGAGCTTCTCTCAACACTTTTCGAAGAACCACGTATACGATCCACAGCACTAGATATATCCTGGGATTTGAAAGGAGAATGAATGTATGGGTAAATTGCGTTCTTCGCGCGCCATCAGTGAGACCTCGGAACCAGCCACATCCATGGATGGATAATGACCGACCTCAGGGTTTTTAAAAAACCCTACAAGCCAAGGAAGGGCGCAAATAAAGTGTGGGAAGGGCGTCACAGGAACAAGAATCCATACCATTCGTCAGGTTCCGTTCAGTGGGAGAGAATGATAGCCACCGGCGGATATCCCTTGATGGGCCCTCGAGGAAGATGAGGTGGTCATTGGGCTGCCTGACGCTGCCCCGTGATATTACCGCCGGTTGCCCCGAGAGACACGCCAGTGTAAACATGACAGCGTCAGCCATCTCCATTCCACAGCGTAGCTTGTGGCTAACTCCACCAGATCCAGTTCCATCTGTACTGCTTTCTCCATTCTTTCTTTCTGAATTCTGGTTCTTTATCTTGCTTCTCCAGGGGCATCCAGGTTGCCATCGTCGTTTGGTTTTCCGTCGCCGTGGGGTTCTCGGGTTGTTCAACATTTTTACAGCTCGCTCTGCGTTACCTTTCAAATTGTCCATATCCCTAGATACCGATAACCAGATGAGCAAAGGCTGGCCGAAGCTCTACACTTTTACCGGACTATAATCTGCCAAAATGCCGGGCACAGTTGCAGATGGGCCAACAGTGGCCATGTCCTGTATAGTACCTCGAAATTCGATTAGCCAGTTCCATGTTCAGCTAACACTTCGACTTCTACAGTTGCCAACAACTTCTGGGGCAAGGAAGACGCGGGTGTTGGGCCAATGTTGGATAGAATGCACACGTCGAAAGTATCGTGTGATGAGTTAAAGACATTCTACAACAGTACGTCGGCCGATCCTGGGCTCAGTAAGAGGCTTGTTTGTGTTCTAACATGATGATTAGTACGGGCTGCTATTGAGGATGAGTACGCGCGAAAGCTTCTGGCACTATGTCGCAAGCCACTAGGATCAACAGAGATAGGCTCCCTCCGGTCGTCCTTCGATACCGTCCGCGGTGAGACTGAAGCTATTGCCAAGGCCCACGCAGCAATTGCGGGCCAGATGAAGAGGGAGCTAGAGGAGCCATTGATTGCTTTCGCTGGTGGTTCCAAGGAGCGAAGAAAGATCATACAGAACGGTATTGAGCGTCTTCTGAAGACTAAAATCCAACAGACTCAGACTGTCAATAAGGTAGAGTGCCCTGCCCATGGAAAAGTGTACGTGACCGTACTGAACAAAGCAGACCAGAGATCGGTATGAACAAGATTGCCTGCGGATCAAGGGTTATTTGGCTCAAGGGCACATGGTCATGGGCCACGAAGAGCGTAAGAACAAAGCGAAATTGGAGAAGACGCAAATACAGCTGGCATCGAGCAGTAGCGAGTATGAAGCAGCTATTAAGATTCTCGAAGAAACTACTACACGCTGGAACAAGGAGTGGAAGGCAGCTTGTGATGTACGTGCGATTGGGAACTTATCTTCAATCTTGACTTCTGTATACTGATGACTTGTTCCAGAAATTCCAAGATCTCGAGGAAGAGAGACTTGACTTCACAAAGAGCAGTCTATGGACGTATGCGAATATTGCATCAACCGTCTGCGTCAGTGACGATGCGGTACGTTCTATCAACCCAACTTCCCGGCTTCCGCTAATGATCAATAGTCCTGCGAGAAAATCCGACTTTCCCTGGAAGACTGCGAAGTTGAAAAGGACATAATCTACTTCATCAAAGAGAAAGGAACTGGTCAGGACATTCCTGACCCTCCCAAGTTTATCAACTTCTGCCGGGGCGACATCAACGATACCAGCTCGGAAGTATCTGAAGAAGAAGGGTACTCGGTAGCCCAGTTTCAACGGACGATAAACCCAGCATATCGCACTTCATCACCGCAGCCTTCTTCGTATGAGCCCCAAATTGATCCCGATGCTGAAATTGCAGCCAAGATAAACGGCCCGTCCACTCCTTCGAGCAGGGAAGCTACAGTCACTCCGCAAAAACCACCACAGCAACCAATGCAGCAGCCCGTACAGAAACATGTGCAGCAACCTATGCAGCAACAGCCGCAACAGCCAATCCAGCAGCCGGTGCATCCGCCAGTGCAGCAGCCTATGCAGCCGCCAATGCAGCCACCCGTGCAGCAACCTAGTATGCCACAGCCAATGCCGCAACAAATGCAACAACCGATGCAGCAGCCCGCTCCCTTGGATCTACGGCGTGGCGGTCAGCTTCCACCAAACTATGACCCCAACCAGCATGGCGAAATTGCAAAGGTGCCACACAACGCTTATCCAACCGATGGTATGACCATGTTTTGCAGAACAGGTCCGCCTTCAGAGCGCAGCTCGGGATCCAATAGCGCCTACCGACCGTCCAGTCGGGATTCTCAGAGCGAAGTGTCAAACCCTACATCGATGTCGAGTCAGGAGCCACCAAGTGCCAGACAATCTCCCACGAAACCTACGAATGGTGTAGCCCTTCCAGGTCTAGGGGCAGACAAACAGGTACAAAAGAAGAGGAGTGCGTTCTTCAGCAACAGTCCCTTCCGACGCAAGAGTCGCCATGATAAAGACCGCCAGTCTGGCCCATCTCAACCACCTTCTCGCGGCACTTGGGAATCACCGTCAAAGTCCACCAGTCCCGTTAAAGCTCCTCAACCCCAACAGCCAATTTCGGTTCCCGACCCCGACCGAGTTTCTGGAAGCCCCGAGCCCGTGGATCCAAGGGCAAATTTCCAGCTTAATGTTGGAAACAATGTTTTCGACGTGGACTCCCCTGACAAGGATAAGAAGGGATCCCCATCGAAAACAGCCAAGGCTGGCGAAGAGGAGCTCGATCCGATTGCCCGGGCTCTTGCGGATCTGAAAGTAGCAGGGAAGCAATCAACCACTCGTGTATCTGCTGACAGATACCACGGAATTGCAACTCCAGTGCCACCAGTAGCTGCTAACCCGGGCGCTGTGAGCACACCTCCCCCCGCTTACAACGATTCATCCCTGAAACGTCTCGACGCTCCGCAACCCGCATTCACGTCAGCGCAGATGCAGAAAACAACTCAGAGATACACTGGCCAGGCCCAGAGTATGCTTCGCGGCTCGAGCAAGCCCCCTTCATTGACAAGCCGACACGGTGGACAGTCCCAAGAGGCCACACGGGCTCGTTCACCCGGTCCAGGACGAAGTGCGAGCCCTCATGTCAGCCCTCGAGTTGACACTCGCATGGGGCAATACAGTAGAGCGGCTAGCCCTAGTCCGACTTACCATTCGAGCAGCAGCATGAGAAGCCGGTATAACCAATCGCCAACCGTCCCATCCCCATCCCAGCGTCCCGTGGATGCATCTCCAACTGCAGAGTATGCCCGAAGAGGATCTTCGCGTGCCGTGTCTCCTCAGCCACAATACCGGCAGTCTCCCACCATGGCACCGCGCGGCGTGTCCCCGCAGCCTCAATACAGACAGCCTCAGAACACGATGCCCCGTGCCGTCTCGCCACAGCCGCAATTCAGACAACAAACCCGGCCATCCAGCGCCGGCGGCATGGAGCTTCAGCTTTCCGGACAACCCGACATGTATGCTGGCAGTCGTGACGGGTACGGCTCTCGACGCGGCAGTGGTAGACCCATGTCATACTACGATGAGGCTGCGAGCGTGAGGAGTCGGTCCAGGAGCAGAACAGTCGCTGTTGCCGATCCCAGCAGACAATTCAGCCGCGACGGTCGACCCATCCTTCACTTCGGTAAATACCCCTTTCTCCTCTCCTACCCAACAGCAATAACTAACTAACCTTGCCCGCAGCACGAGCCATGTACAGCTACACCGCCGCCATTCCCGAAGAGTTAGGCTTCAGCAAAGGCGACGTCTTATCAGTAATCCGCCTCCAAGACGACGGCTGGTGGGAAGCCGAAATCACCACCGCACGCAGCCGAACCGGATTAGTCCCGAGCAACTACCTCCAAATCATCTAAAGACGAAAAATACTATTTAAAAAAAAACACACGACAAAACACGATCAATGCCTATCTCATGAACCAACAACCAACAACCAAATCATTCATTCCATCACCCCATCTATGACCCAACCATGTCCTACTTAATCACGTGTTCATGATCATGATACCAAATTGTGCTCATTTGTCTCTTTCTTTGCCACATCTTCTAATCTTTGGGTCTAGTAGTATCTATTCCTCCCCTTCCATGGCACATTCTTTATGCGTTTTCTCTCTCCCCAGTCTCTAGCATGTCGAAGTTGGTTTTCGCCTCTTTGGACCTCCTTTGTTGATCTCGATTGTGTTTCTTGTGCGTTGAATCTCCGATACCTGTGTGTTTGATTTTGTTCGAATTGTCTTTCGTTGAAGATACGGACTAGTTCTTCTTTTCTTTTCTTTTTGATTTAGCTGCGTTGAGATACTTGAATAATAACTTGGCGTATGGGCGCTGTATTTTCTGCGTATACGTACTACGTTCTATGACTAGACAATTTACTCTAGCGTAATCTCGATGGGCATGCATGGAAGAGATTCCAGATAAAAGTTACCATAAAACACTAAATACATGACCAAGAATTGTAGACATGGCTAAAAGAGTCCACAAAGAAGGACCAACTGAGCAGGTCAATTTAAACCCAAGACCATAAAATGACCGCTCAATTGGAGGGAGGCCACATCCGGTGGCAGCTTGCCAGCCCATTGGGGGAAAAGTAGCAAAAGGGTATAGAACCTGCACGATGTCTAGGAAATGCTCAGAAACCAATACCAACTGATACAAAATGAAAATGAGATGCCCGCGCACATGTATCATACAAAACAAAGATAGAGAGGGAGAGAGAGAGAGAGAGAGAGAGAGAGAGAGAGAGAGAGAGAGAACGAGCGCTAGCAATCTATGCCAGCGTGTAAAGTTTTGAGAGACGCGAAGAGGGAGAAGATATGCCTCCAAGGCAAGCAGTAGCCGGTCGATTTCGATCTTGAGATGGTCTATGGTGAAGGATGATAATCGTAGGAGGACAAGAGAGCCCATTGACCCCGTGATGCGTCTTCGGTTTAGTCTGCACGGCCACATCCCTCCACCATACATCTGAAACCTCCTGGAGTTGCAAGGCAACGTATTCTCGCGTCTTTGCAATACGGTTGCGTGGACGCATGAAACCCAACTTGGGAGATCATGTCCCATATTGTTTTTGCCGTAAGACTTTTGAGACCGGGCTGAAATGGTTCTCCATTTCCATTCGTGTCAGCCGCGACTTTGGCGATGTTGCAGACGAGGTAGACGTGGTCGTTTATATGTCCGCAACTGTTGCAGACCCGCTGAATGTGGCACATTCTTAACTCTCTCGAAAGAACTTCGTGCGTACAGAAGCGTAGTAGGACGGAGAGTTGCGGTTGGCTGATTGTATTGACCCTGGATCAAAGGGCATCGATTGTTAAGAGGTTGAAAAAAGAGCTTCCTGCTTTTTCGATTCGATACTGGCGGATAGTTCGAAGCCATGCAAATGAGTCTGGGTAGTCTTGGCTTGAAAGTCTCGCTGGTTGATCTGCAGGATAGTGAGTAGGAAGCTATGGCATGTTTGCCAGGCGCAGAAAGGAAATTTCTATATGCCAAAGTGTGGTGAATTGGGGCACACGCCGAGCCATTGTGTCGACGTTTATTCCACGGAACGCTGTGAATCAAGTTTTCAGCATCACTACAAGATGAAAATTTTGTTAAGACTTCACAGCCAGGCAGGCAATGACGGAACTTGATGAAGCACGGTATGGAGCAGCTAGAAAGATGTGATAGAGAGATATTACAATTCAAGTGAAGACAGCATGATGGGTAGTGACAGGAATACATAGCAGAGCATCATGCAAAGCAGGCCAGCAAATAACAGATTATAAAAACATAAGAGGTTTCGCAATATGTTCAATTGACACTGTACAATGGAAGGCTCACCATTCCTTGATTAGGAAGATTGTCCAGGCAAGGTGGCTTAAGAAGCATCAGGCGAGCAGCCTCGGGACACAAATCATGTGAAGAGCAATATCATGCAGTTATTATAGAGAGTTCATTCATCGTCAACAAAGGAGTTGGCAAGTCGGCCAAAGACTGGAACTTCGAAATGTTCGAGTGTATCAACTAAGGTGTGGTCAGCTTGTGTTATCGTTGCGCAATCGTGAAAACACACCATCTCGATAAGCCCGCATGCTGAGAAAACCGATCATTGCAAGATCGCAGATAAACAAGAGCCATGAGAAGAAGCTTGACCAAGAGAAAATTAGGTGGAGTATCTGAATGAGATTAGAGGTGTCAACGGTCGACTCGGTCGATAGCGTGACTTACAAACATGACGGTGAATAGCATGCTCGATTGCCAGGCGTGGAAGCTGAAGACATGTCAGCAAATCTGGCAAAAGGATATCTCTGGGATATGGGAAAGGAGGAGGAATCGTACCGAACATAGTCGCTCTTGTGTTCTACCAACAGGAGGAAGACACCACCAGCAGGAGGCAGAAGCAAATATGCCAGCATAGCTTCAACATCCATGCGGATGGGGAGACTGGTATCGAAAGCCCCGAGATTCCAACGACCACTCTCCACATCATTGCCAAATCCTGTGTTTCCATGACCACTGGTGTTTATATGACCCGCACCGGCGAACTGACTGGGGGAGGGGAGCCCCGGTGAAGCGAGTCCGGGGACGGGAGGAGATCCGCGAGGCGATCGAAGGTTGGGGGACTTGATGCGATTCGCGTCGGCCAGCGACGGCGAAAAGGCGCGTTCCACCTCGGGGGACTCGTCCTGGTAGGGCGCAAAGTTCATCTTGAGCAGGCGATAAAGCGGAAGATGGAAAAACGAAAGCCAGGAGAGAAAAGTAAGGACAGACAAACGGGATGGATGGACGGGAGACGCGCTTATCAGTTTCAAGTAAGTAGCTTTATCGCGGGCGCCGGTAGTTCGTCGCCTCAGGCATCCATCACTTCCCCGCTGCTGCTGCTGCTGCTGCTGCTGCTGCTGCTGCTGGCTGGCTGGTTACATTCTTCTTCTCACCTCCACCACTTCATCACGTAACTGCATGTCATCTTCAATTGGTATCATCATATCATCATTGTCATTCCTCTCTCGTAGTACTGTACATGGAAAGTCGTTTGTTCATGCCCGCCTCCTCTACACCCTGCCGCGCCCCCGCGCAATTCCTGTGCCCCGCGCGATCCCACTGACCGGTCTACGCGTCGTGGAGGTTGTCGATGGCTTGGATGTTGAAGATGTGGTAGTCCTGGTAGTGCTGGAGCTTGTTCCTGAGTACGAGGTGCTTGGTGTCCTTCCCAGACCGCTACGCACCACCCGTCCACGAGTGGTCGTCCCACGCGCAGTGCGGGTGCCCGCAGCCAGCGCTCTCTTGCGCTGGTCTTCTTCAGCCTTCCGGGCAGCAGCTTCCCTTTGCTGCTGGAGTTCCCGTTCGCGTCTCTCTGCTGCCTGTTGCCGTAGGATTTCTTCGTTCTCCATGTCGGCCACATCTTGAACGGCGCCTTGCCAATTAGGATTGAGGATTAACCGCTGGTTGTGTTCGGTCTGGGAGAGGATTCGCGTCCAGGTTTGGAGCAAGGTGGAAGCGGAGTCAATGGTGCGCGAGACAGTCTACAGATGATCATCGGTGGTTAGCAATTGCAATTGTAGAAGGTCGATGCCGGTAAATTGGTCTTGAACTTACCCCCATGTTCTCCTTGGCACAATCCAGGCTTCCTAGCAGCCCCTCAATGACTTGGTTGATCTTGCGGACGCTCTCCAATTCACTGCGCAACGCGGCTTCCCGCGCCTCCTGACGGTCAAACAGAGTTTCCCCTCCGTCATGGGTAATGGTGGGTTCTGGCGACATGCTTTCTTCCTTCACGGCTCTGTGGTGTAGCATTTTATTTCCGCGTTTGGAGGGGGAATCCCAAAGGTCATCAGAGTCATCATCAGACAACTGAAGCCTGTCCATTTCCTCTGCGGTGCTGCGGTGCGTCATTGTTTAGGAGAAGGAGGAATAGATAGAATGGGTGTTGGTGGTGGTGGTGGTGGTGGTGGTTATGGTGTGGGGGAGGCGTGGCTGTGGAAACAACAATGATTGTTTTTGTTTGATATTGCAAGGAAACGAGGATACAAAAACGGAGTAGTTGAATAATGAAATGCACCAGCTGGCGGAGGGGAAGGGGAAAATAACCACCAATGAAGAAAGGAAGAATGCCGATCGACAGCTAAATATCGTGGGGCAGTCTCAGCCAGTCGTTGGAGTGGGAGAGTATAATAGCCCGACTATGGAATTAGTAGTCTATCTAGTCGATACCCAAGCAATTGGTTGGTTAAAGCCTAACTAAACGAGGCGGAAGAAGGCGTGTAGGGAAAAAAAAGGTGTGGCTGGGACGCGACAAGGAAGCACCACCAAAGCGGGCCAAACATTCCAGATCGCGGGCACCAGCCATCCCATCCCATCCACTCTCTGAACCTCACCTCGTCTCTTCTTCCCTCCCTTTCCCCAGTCCACTAACTAACTACCACCTTCTCTCCCTCACATCCACAATTCACATCCACTTTTACCACTACTCCTCCTCCTACTCCTTTCTTTGTTTACAGCTACTACCGTTCCATTGGTCTCGCTCCCTTGGACCTGCTCTTTGATAGTGACACGCCCATTGATATTGCGCGCCCTGTTGCCTTGGATTACACGGTCGGCTTTTGGCGTTTTCCTCCCTTTTATCACCCTGGAACCTATCACGGCCTGACTCCCATCACCCACCACGCTTATATATCTCAATTCTTTTGGATTCGCATCTATCTGTTTAACTGGGTATTATTGGGAACTCGAAGTTGGGGCTATTAAGCGTGTCCACAGCCACACTGGACCTGTATTAGCCCGTGTTCGGCGTCATTATTCACAATGGCCACAACACCACCACCGCCTTCCACCCTACGAATCCCCCCTACTCCGCGACTTGGAGCTAAATACGATGAATATGAACCATACTCCACGCGATACTCAGCCAGGCTAGCAAGCCAACGTGCTGCCAGAGACAGAGAGTCCCGTACCACTCCCCCGCCTACCTTCCCGAGCTCGAAGACCACCGCGAACAAGTACGACTTGGATGAATCCGATACACTGTCTCCTCCTGGCTCAGTTCATACCTCGCCCCGGAAGCTCAAGTCGGCCCGAGCTACCGGCTTGTTTGCGACACATTCACTTGGAGGCCCCTCCGGCACACATGACTCGGATCCCTTCGGCGCAGAACCTTCCTCTCTCCGGCATCAATCGCGATCACTTCGACCGACTATGACCGAAGGAATGCTTCCCACTCCAGCCAAGACGCCTCGCAAGAAGGCCGTCGCGGATGTTGGAAATACCGCACGAGTGCTGTTCCCTCCGCCCCCTAGCGCCAGAAAGAAGACGAAGAAGCATACAGGCTTCTCGTTGGATAGTTTCTGCGAAGATAACGCCCAGGGCGGCTCCGAGATTCAAATTTACACCGACTCGCGCGATCGCATCCCGGAAGTCGACGAAAGCGAAGATAATCCGTTCTACAACAAACCCACGGTCAGCAACACAACTACTCGTGCCTCCAGACGCAAAGAGAGCCGCCGCGACAAGGAAATAGACGACTCGCTCAATCGTGAGGATGGCATGCTTTACGTTTTGTAAGTTCACTTCTACAGGGTTTCCCCTAGTTTGTCTTGTGTACTAACATATTCCGCAGCCGAGGCAAGAAAATGTTCCGCAAGTTCACGGATGACGCTGAGAGCGACCTCGATGATGACGATGATGACTTGGGCTTGCTGGCAGCCCGTCCGGACCTGATTGACTCATCTATCCACAATGTTCGTCCACTGACTCGCTCGTCAATCAAGCCTCGTGTGCTCTTCCCTACCGCGAAGTCGCAGACTCCCCAAGAAGCTCGCTCGAGCGATGTCGATGAGGAGGCAGCCACTGATATTGAGGATCACCTGCTTCACGATGAAGTCGAGGAGGATGAAGATCCTGCGGTTGACGTAGAGATGCAGCAACGGCCAGTCACTCCTCCCCCGCAATCCTCCGTTGCAACTCCTGCGTCACCCGGGGCTACGGTGCGGTCACTGCGTTCGCGATCCAAGCGGGATGGCCCCGAGCATAGTGAGACACCCACGGCCTCCGAAACCAAGAAAAAGCGCGTTAGTCCGTTCGACGGCTGGCTCCGCAAAAAGACAGCTCCTGCTCTGACAGGGACCAAAGCCAAGAAGCGAGATGCCGAAGCCGCTGGCAGCCCTGGTGGCCCAGCTCCCAAGAAAACACGAGGCAACAAAGCGACTGCGTCATGAGCATAATCTTGTCCGCCTATATGCAAGACTACCAGTGGAACCTTGAAGCCATCGGAAGCAAAGTCTTCCCTCTCGATTCTGCCGTCACGGATTATACCGCAGAAAAAATCAATCTCTTGACGAGCATCCTTGTTTTCAGCGTTCTTCTATCTTCTCGTTCGATATTCACTGGCGTCCTTGACTCAATAGGTCGACTATACTAGGTTTTTTAATGTGTCCGGCTGTCCTCAGTTCAGTTTCCATTTGTTTGATATCAGCTACAAAAGCATCATTGTCTTTTGTCTTGAACATAACAACAACTCCCGAGTGATCAGTCGGAAAAGGGAACAGGCGCGATACTATGGGCTAAATGGGACGGACGGATAGGTAAATGGGCTGGACTGGCACATGGGATGGAGTTTTGTTGTTCTTTTTCCTTTCTCTCTTCGCCACTTTTTCCTGCTTCTTTATTTTTTTTTCAATGCTTCTTATTTCCATATCGCCGGCGTGTTTTCTGCTCCCTTCAACTGCTTATGTCTCTCTGTGACTGACTTGGCTTGAGACACTCGGCCCTTTCTACCTTACTTAGCTTAGTTAGCTAGCTTGAGAGTTTCCAATGTCTCTCGTACAACCAACTTAGATACCATTCAATGAACATGAAATTGTGATGTCTGTTTTTCCCTTTTCTGCTTCTTTATTATACACATGACAGACATATACTATAGTAGCTTAAACATGTCACTACTCTATACACCATACTTACTATGATGTCCCTTCTCGACCCTCTAGTAGTACTTGCTAGTAAGTACTAGAGTTTAACCACACCACCTCGTAACGACAGTTCTCATTAGAAACAAGGAATCGATCCAGGTTCAATGAAGACTCCTGGTATTTTCATACTACTTCATAAAGCAAAGAATGGTAGGTACTCTGCTAATAATACAAATTTTATCTCCCAGATAATTCGCAAGAACTCATCGGGAAGAAGAACGAAAAAGGAGGGGTACTCGTACAATTAAAAAAAGAAAGAAAGGAAGAAAAGAAGAAAGACAAGCGTGCTAAAATCATCATGCAGTCAGTTAGTCGTTCGTTGGAAGGACAGACAAACAAGGAAAAGAAATCTCGTTCATTCATTCATTCTCTTGTTGTTGTTGTAGTTGTTGTTGTTGTAGGAGTAGTAGTAAGTAGGAAGTAGGAAGGGGAGATATTCCAGTGGGCACCAAGATGGTGTATCTGATTTCTGTTGCTGTGCATGTTTCTGCTGCTAGGGGAAATGAAAGTGGTTGAGGTCAAAAACTATCAAGGCGACTAAGTTCTTTGTTGCTCATGTGAGACGGACTAGCGAGTGAGTTTCTTTGCTGGTGAGTGACACTGGAATGACTGATATTTCAATGGTATATTCGCCGTGGAAGGATGGGGTCAACTGCGTTGCAGGTAACGAAGGGTATCTATATTTTGTTTTCATAACATTGGAAAAAGAAGGGTTGCTTTTCTTTAGATGATGTCTAGTTCATCGTCGTCATCATCATCATTGTTCGTTGGCACCATGTCGGGTTTTCCTCCTAGACTGTCTCTTCCGGCTTCCTTGATGCCATGGGAAGTTATGAACCGGGTCTTCTTGACACCGCTGCCGTGGGGTCTGTCGCCGTCATGGGCGCGTTTGAGAGGGCTCAGCTTCACACTATCTGCCTTTCTGAAGTTTGAGATGCCCAGATTGGTGGTGGAAAAGTCATCTAAGTTGTTCTTTGCCTGCTCGGGATGGGGTGATTGGACGTTGTGGTTATCTCGTGATCGGAGATATTCAGCGCCAACACCCCCGGAACGGGAAATAAGCCTCTCTGCGATGTCGCGTTCGCGTTTCTTCTCTGCGAGTCGTCGGCGGAAGCGCTCTTCTTTGCTTTCCATGCCACGGCCCATCATTCCGGCGGCGATGAACGGGTCGTCGTGATCTGCATCGATTAGGGCTGCGGCAGACTGGCCAGACGGGTGAGGGTGGAAGGAGGGTCCGCCGCCCCTAGACTTTGGAGCCGGTGCAACGTAATAGGACGATTGTGATTGATAGTCGTATCTTGCGCCATTTGGCTTCAGCCCATTCTGGGGGCGAACTTTCTTTTCTCCGCCGTAGAAACCGGTTCGAGACCCTGAGCGGCCACCAGGTCCATACATGCCTGTGCCGCCATTGACTCCCATTCGACCTGCTTGTGTTCGACGGACCTGTAGGTCGACATGAAAGTCGCAGAATTCAGTCTTCCGGCCATCAACCCATGAGTGGCAGGTCTTGCCATCCTTCCTAACGGCCTTACAAAATCCAATGTCTTGCGCATAGCCGACCTCTAGGATCTTGTCATCAGATGAGGAAATGGCGAGACTGAACCTGTTGGTGTCTGTCTTGTTCTTGGGCGGTGGCATGATTGTGGGGTTCAGAATGGCAATGAGTATTCCTTCGGAGATTCTGTAGTATCGTGGAAAGGCAGTGTCGAAAAGGAAGAGATCAATTGTCCATTTTAGATCTGTCAGAGTAATGACCATGTATTGGTTGGTGTTATTAGTTCCATCGTCAAATGGATCAACCTCCTTCTTAGTAGTGTTGGCCGGTTGCTTGATTTGTCTGGGCTGTGATTTCGATGCTACTATACCGAAGACAACATAGTCTGTGTCGATTTCCTCTGGCAGTTCAAAGTCAGGCGCCTTCACTGTGCGTAGGAGATCAGGAATCTTAAGAGCTTTCTTGTCTTCCAGGGTTCGAGACAAGAACGAATGGGGTAGGATGCGGTTGGACAAGTGCAAGGAAGAGAATGCTTCAAACTTTGAGGAGTCACCACTTTTCTCGCCTTGGGGATCATCAGTTGCACTGTTTTGAGAGCTGGCGGGCACCTCGGACTCAGACTTGTGGTTCCGTCGGTGAAAATATGGCAGTGACTCCTTCGCATCAGCCGCACCATCATCAGATCTCTGTACGCTAGACGTAGTCTGGCTCCGACCCCTTTTCAGCGACGGCTTGAGATTATATGAGCGGAGAACATCTTCTCGACTAAAGCTTTCGGCCCGTCGCCTCCTCGTTGGCGAAGCTGGAGCGTCCTTCCTTGACTCGGCAGCTGCTTTGAAGGCCTCCACTTCCGCTTTGTCGATCTGGAAGGCAGAGCTTCGATTTGCCTGAATCCTCTCCATTCGTGCTGCTCGTTCTCTCCGAGACGCATCGGCAGACCGGCTCTCAGCCATACGTTCACTGAAGCTCTTTGGACGGTTGCGCTCCCCACCCACGGTTATTGCTTGCAGAAGACTGCCAGAACGAGAGACTAGACCATCTCGAGTTCCAGGTCTACTTGCTGGCTGAGCAGCTCCCTTTGAACTTGGCGGACGCTTCAGCGACACGTCCCTACTTCTGAGGCCTTTGTCAATGCCTAACAAATACCTCCGCGGGGACACAGGATCCGTGGGAGGAGCAGCACGCCTCGTCGGCGACAGCGGCACCTGGACATCATCGATATGAGCATTGCTATCCGTCACATGACCATTGTTTCTTGTTCCTAACGGCTCGTCATGTCCCTGGGAATAGCCAATGGCTGACGCAGGTCTAGAGAAGGTCTCCCCGTCATGTCTCTCTGGACCAGGTGTCCCCGTCTTCGTGCGGCTTTTCTGAAGTTGCTTAAGCTTCAGACGCGCCTCAATGGCCGCGAGCTTCAACTGTAGTGTTTCCTCATCCTCATCATCTTCTCCCTCGTCCACCCCGTCGCTAAGAAGCTGTGACGCCTTGGATCGTAAGTCGGGAGTAGTGACAGAGTGTTTCAAAGGCGAGCCCAGATGTTCGCGACGTCGCTGCAGTTCTTCATACCTCTTGCGACCATTCGGAGTACTCAAGAGGGCATCCCGAGGGGACTTTGGCGGCCACGAGATCTCGGCCACTGCCACAGAAGCAGCGCGTCAGCGCACAGAAAGAAGGTCGAGCTGAACAGAAACACAAGGCACTCACTCACTGCTTGTCATCGCATCCACGGTGTCAAATTGGAGTTATTTCCCAGTTGCAAACGAAAAATGCAGATTGAATTCCGATCCCGCTTATCGTCTTCTACCTATCGTGCTACCCTTCCTGCCATATTCACTCAACGAAGGGATGCGGGGAATGGCGTCTTTTCGAAACTGGGGCTCTGGGGTTCGGAGGACAGGAGCAGCAAAGCAACAACTACCTCAGCCACCTGACGGATTCAAGTCTCTAACGAAGAAAAGAAAGGGGGAGCAGGAACCGCAGGCCTGCATGAAATGAAACGCAAGGGAATGAAAGTGAGCTGCAACCAATCCGCCTTTAGCTTCCTTTCTCGCCCGCGGCCTGAGGCCCATGCATGCCTGCCCGCTGACTTGTGTCGCAACGGCCGATGATTGGCTAGCGCGTGTCGCGTTGAACCAGTGAAAAAGACGCGTTTCAATTACCATTATTACTTGTTCTTTCCCCCTTCGGACTATCCGTCAATATTTCCATTTCGCTCTTCATATCCAAATTTCAAACCTCAATTGCTGCTAATGAACTGCCCATAACACTTATACATCCCATATAATATTCTTCTATACGGAGTACCTTCCACATATCCTATAATCACAATGCGAACCCGCTCAAGCGCTCCATCGGAGCAACCTCAATCCCCTCCATCCACCTCCGATCACCAAACAACAGCAGCAGCATCAACATCAGCACCGCCAGCGCAATCCACCCCCAAGAAAACCTTCATCCTCCCCTCCACCGCCAGCGCCGACGCACGCTTCCTCACCCTCCCCAACCCGCGAAGCGCCGAACCAACCCGCTACTTCTTCGATCCCAAACTCGGCGTATACGAATTCACCGTCCTCTCATCTCCTCCCTCCGCACCCCGAAGCACCCTCCTCGTGCGCAACTCCGATCCCTCCTCATCCACATCCCAACCCCCAGCACATATCTCCAAGAAAGCCGAACTCCTCCTCGCCACCCCAATCGACATCCTCTTCTTCCTCATCCCCATCCTCACCGCAAACACCAAACAAAACAACCTTTTCCAACCTCTAGACGACATCATCGACTCGCTGGACGAGGATCTCCTCCCACCTCACCTCCGCCATGTGTTATACGACGAAACCTTCCGCGGGACACTGCACGCCCGCGCCGCTGCGATAAGCGACTCCGTTGAAGCGGGCGACGAGAAGATGTTCCGGTTCAACGAGACGAAACTTCTCCAGGAACTTGTCGCGAAGGCGGATAGGATGGTTAATGCGGGGTTGCCTCCGAGTCTTGAAGAGAGGTTTGTGAGACAGGCGCTGGCGACGCCGTTGATGGCGGTGAAGAGGGATGATGTGGCCACTACGGGGGAGAATAAAGAGAATGAGGGCGAAGATAAGAACGAGGAGAAGGGAACGGAGGAGAAGACCACCACAAACAACGAAGATGCAAAGGAGGATCTCCCAGAAGGCGTAAAGGTTCCTGAAGGCGTAGCCAACCTCTTACGGATATCTGTGGCGTTATCATTCATGAAAGAATGCTATCTGTCCAAGGAGATGAGCGCGCGGATAGACGAATTACTAGCTGCGCCGGAGAGTCCGAAGGATTTCAAGCCGATGCGAGATCATTTGGACCTTGTGGCGAAACTGAGGGCGGAGGCGCTGGCGTCGAGGTCGCTGGGTGATTTCTCTCGGAAGAGGAGTGTTGAGGATCAGGAGGCTGCGGAATCGAGGGCGGAGAAGAAGCGCAGGATGGAGGAAGAGGAAAAGAAGAAGAAGGCGAATGAGTCGAGGGGAGTCCGGGATCTGAAAAAGGTTAATACGACGGGGATGAAGAAGATGAGTGATTTCTTCGGAAAGGCGGCTGCGAAGAAGAAGGCGTGAGAGATAAGGGGTTTTGGTTATGTTGCGATTATATGCTTCGCCATTACTCTGGGTGATGGCGCACTTTGGAGTCTTGGGAAGACGCTATCGGGACTGCAAAGGTCCGTACTCCAGCAGGATGCATAGAATCCTAAGGTATTCCGTTACCCTCCTCGAGCCCTGGGCGTAGTGACCTGGCTTTCTGGTTGCGACGTATCCTGCGATTGAGACAGAAACTTGCAGGCACTCGTCACTGCTTCTGTCTCTAAGCAGGAAATATTTCTAAAAGATGATCCCGTCACAAAGATAATCCCATTTGTACATAGACTCTCACACGATATACACAAGCGCATGGACTTCCAATTGGACACCAAAAGTCGCGATTGAGTTTGCAATCTGCAAGGGAAAAAAAGCCAACGCTGAATGATCCAAGTTCATGATGCCAACCATATGACGCACTACTTCGAAAAGAGAATACTACACTACCTCTAAACCTCAACCTGGGCAATAGCTGCGCCCGTGACCCTGTCAATTACATTAGTATCGTTGAACCAGAGAGAGAAGAACCTAGGTTAGAGGGACATACATGAACGATCCGTTAGATGGCTTGCTGATAACCATGGCTTCAGCCAACTTCTCCTCGCTGATATCCGGGAAGTGCTTCAGGTAGTATTCCTCCTTCAAGGCCTTGGTAACAGCTTCGACCTTGGACTGGGGCAGCATGTGGACGGTGCAACCACCCCATCCGGCGCCGGTCAGTCGGCTACCCAGGGTTCCCGCCCGACGAGCGATGTCGCAGATCTCATCCACCTCCGGTGCACTGCAATCGTACTGAGTGCGGCAAGAAGCCTGGGACTCGTTCAAGAGTTGACCCAGGTACTGGATGCGTCTTTCATCGAGGGTGCTCGCCTTCGCGAGGCATGCCTTGAAGTCCAAGACTCGGCGGGCCTCGGTGAAGCAGTGCAGGGCGCGTTGACGAAGGAGGAAACGCTCTGCTTGAACGGGGAAGGAAGAAAGGTACTTGGCTTCGAGTTCGGGGACAGTGATACCGAGGAGCTTGGCGATCTCCTCGCGGGTGTATCCTTCCTCTTGCGTCAGAAGCTCCAGGGTGCTCTGGATGACGGAGTCAATCTGGTACTCCAGGGGATCGCCGAGACGGCCCTCTTTGCGCATCAACTCGTTGTGGAAGTTACGGAGACTGAAGCCGAGAGAGCTGTTGTCCTTGGGGAGGGTCAAGCCGTTCCGGGCAGCCAGGACCACGGCGGCGAGCGTGCACTCAGCGACACGGAGGTTGTAGTGACGGGGAGCGGTCTCGGCCTTGTTGGAGGTGACGAAGCTCTGGGCCATAAGGAAAGTGATTTCCTCATCCGCCTTGGGGATGGGGACGTGCTGAACGGAGAAGTTAGGGAAGAATTGGGTGTACAGGAGGTATCCTCGGCGAGAGAAGATGGAGGCGGCTTGGTCCATGCTAGTAAGCAGTAGAGTTTAGCATCGAATAGTGAAATGGAGTGGTCAGTGGTAACATACCCTCCGGAGTAGACGCCAACTGCACGCTCAGACACTACAGCCAAATCAAGAAGATCCTGCTTCGAGACATCATGGTTGTTGGCCTTCATGACAGCCAAGGCACTGGCGCATACGAAAGCCGCACTGCTAGAGATACCACCGCCCGGAGGTACATTACCGTCCAGGAGTACCTCCATACTAGCAGGCACAAAAGAGCCATCTGCATTTTGCTTGCGCAAGAACTTCAGGGCGCCCAGGAGCCCCGCCTTGAAGTAGTTAACCCACTCATGCTTCTTAGGGTCGATTTCAATGTCCGTGTCACGAGGCACGACAAACTCGCGGGTAGGGAACTTCTCCGGGTTGACATTGGCAATCTTTACAACAGAGTCGGAGCCAGTCGCAGGGACGACCTTTACAGCAATGATCACGTCCACGCTTACTGCTGTAGGGAGGACATCATACAGGTTGTAGTCGATGTGCTCACCAATGATGTTCACGCGACCGGGACTGCGGGCCACAAAATCGGGACGATGGCTGTAAACCTTGGTGAACTGGGAGACCAGGTTGTTAAACCGAGACTGATGGTGAGGCGCAACTGAAGTGACAGAGGCATCGTCGGTTGCGTAGACCTCAGCGATAGACTCCGTCTGGGGGACGAGTTCCTGCGGGGTTGCCATGGCGGGGTAGAAATGGGAGGAAAAAGAAAAATAGCAGATCACACGAGGGGAGCGGGATATGGGAGAAGATGAGAAGAAGCAAGAAAAGAAAAAAAAGAAACGAAGAGAGAAAAGGAGAAAAAGCAGAAAGTAAGACAAATAGATTAATACCGGCTAAAACGTCAGCGTCCCTGAATCGCCAGGATAGGAGGGAAAAATTCGAGGTGGTGGTGCTCCGCAGAGACCCTGATCGGTTCCGGATTGAGCATAACAGGCTGGTCACGGGCGGGATAGTTCTGGAGGTGTGATTGCTTGAAGGCCGGGGAAAGAGTGGAGTTGCCCGGAAATGACACTCGCTCGCTGGAGTCGCTGGACGGCTCTCCGACTCGCTTCTCCAGTCCTTTTCAACCGATTCCCCGTGTGTTTCGGCTGATTCGGCATGGCCCTGGGGTCCCCCAGCTCGGTCGGGATATCCCATTCTACTGATGTGTCGACGGCGAGCCATTGTATCTTTGTTTCCGTTTAATTCTCATTTTCACTACCTCATTGTTAATGGATTCGACAGGTGCCAGCCAACCGACACTGTGTAAAGCATCCTCTTCCCCATAATCCCGCAAGGCACCCAATTTAGCCGAACCCAGGTGGCCTCGGCTTCTGGACGGCCGAGTGGATGCTAACCGTTGCAAATCGCACGGCCGTCTGTATATTATTAGAGGTCAACCACCACCAGCCAGTTAGTACACCCTAATCAAGAGACAATATAGTTAGTTAATCTATACTGCTCTTAGTCAGGTATTGGTGTTCAGGCCTAGTTAACTATTGCTAGCTTCCTCGCCCGATCGATTCAAGACTGACTAGTATTGGATAGAAATTGTGGGGTAACAACATCACATTCCGATCGTTATCAAGGAACTGGAGACTTTATATCTTGAATCCAAAGTCTTTTCCAGTAAAGAAAGGGTTGCTGTTCGGTATATGAGCTCATCCCGTAACCTTCAACAGTTCTTGACAACAGTCGGGTGGTCCCGATCTCGGAAGAGCTCATTCCAGCAGAACCTATGCGCCTAGTAACCCGGGAAGGGACAAAAAGCCCGCGGAGAATTTCTCATGCGCAACTCATGTGAGGCGATACAACATTATATCCTCTGTGGTTCTTACCTTATGCGGAAGGACTGACTACACCTTTCTGACCACAACGGCTCATTATTCAGGTCACGAGCACATAAACGTGTTACTCCGTCTGGTAGAGTAAATTGGATGGGATACGCAGGTTCCCATTGCGGCAGAAACTCTGCATATTTGACGCAAGGCCGAACAAGCAATCTGCAGGCAGCCTGATGTATATGCTCAGCCGAGCTCGGTCCAGCTTCATGAATATGAGGGAAGTTCAACGGCCAAGGTACCATGTTCCTAGACCTTGGGAATCGGAGGCATTGTTCAGGTATCGCTGACCAATGTTCTGAGTGAGTCATCTCCAGAGTCGATAGACAACCCCTCCACGGAGAATTACTGCACCAGTAAATTGTAACTGGGGTATAATCATACAATACTTGCTTTCTTTTTCATGCCGGTTACCTGCATGTGATGGAGATGCATTAGCGAGCCGTATTCGGACCGGCACCCGCGGTAGGAGTATATGTAGAAAATTCGAAAGTCTGTGAATACCACAGGTTGAGGGGCTTCTAGTTGGAATAGAAACTATAGAAGCCCTAGTTACTTTTTGATGTAGTCTGTGGGTTGTAGTTCAATATTTCTGTCTAATGGTTGCTATGAGGACTAAAAGTATGTCAGCAGTGAACCAGGCTAGTTGATTTCAAGCCCGTATAGCAGTTGGAACCTTGACAAAAGGCCGCACCATGACAATTACTGAAAAATAAAAATACGTGGTTGTGCAACGTCAGCTGCTATCATCAACATCCCTCGCCTGTATTATTGCGATCTTGCAAGGCGTTGCTCTGGGGAAGACAGGACAAAACGAGAGGCTTGCATTCCCAATCAGGTGACCGCTTTCGCGTCCAAGAGGGCCGATGATCGGAGCAGTGGGGTATCCGTAGCCAATGGGAAGACCCAGATTATTCGACTCCAACAGCACTAGACCTAGACAGGCTAGAATGCAACCATAACCGTCCCCGAAGTCTGAGTCTTCGCTCCTGCCTTAAGGAACGGATCTCTTACTCACTCTTCCTGGTCCCGTTCTTTTTCCCCGTTGTGAGCACTCCCCTTTCTCTGTTCCCAGGCCTGGCAGTCATCCGCCATCAAGATGATGCCTATGAGACCTTCGAAAAGCGCCATGCGCGCTCTGCACTACCAGAGGTACATTGCCTCTGGCAGAATGAGTTTTACTACTGCTTCCGTCGCTGCGACCGCGCCCCACCGCTTTTCAGCTCAGAAGAGATTCCAGAGCACCGCAAGTGCCCCGGCTGAGTGAGTATTATCTACAACTAGCATCCAGCTGGCTACTGGGATGTCAATTACTGTTGCTAACATGCCTGTGAATTACCAGAAACACGAGACCGATCCCCAGCCCTGCCTTCAACCAGGAACCTCACCGCAATGAGGTCTCGCCACTGCAAAATCGCCAGGTCCCCGAACTGGACGACTCGTATGCAGTCCCCTCAACAACTTAAATTGATAATGGGAGTAGAGCTGACCTGGTCCTTGGAGCGTAAACAGTTTTGTCGGACTCAGTGGAGGAGAGATCTTTCATGAGATGATGCTGCGTCTTGGCGTTAAGCATGTCTGTGAGTCACGCGTCTTTTTTTCTTCGGTTTCCCGGTATTCTTCAAGACCATAAGGTTGACCCACCACTTTTAGTCGGTTACCCTGGAGGTGCCATTCTTCCCGTTTTCGATGCCATCTACAACTCCAAACACTTCGACTTCGTCCTCCCGAGACATGAACAGGGCGCCGGACACATGGCCGAAGGCTACGCCCGTGCCTCTGGAAAGCCCGGTGTCGTCCTCGTCACCTCCGGCCCTGGAGCCACCAACGTTATCACCCCCATGCAGGATGCCCTCTCGGACGGTACTCCCATGGTCGTCTTCTGCGGTCAGGTGCCCACCAGCCTGATCGGTACCGACTCTTTCCAGGAAGCCGATGTTATCGGTATCTCCCGTGCTTGCACCAAGTGGAACGTCATGGTCAAGTCCGTCGCTGAACTTCCCCGTCGCATCCAAGAGGCTTTCGAAATCGCCACCAGCGGCCGCCCCGGACCTGTCCTCGTCGATCTGCCCAAGGATATCACCGCCGGTATTCTCCGTAAACCCATCCCGATGAACAGCACCCTGCCCTCC